TGTGTGTGTGTGTGTGTGTGTGTGTGTGTGTGTGTGTAGGAGAGATAATATTGGGAAATAATCTCCAAAGTGCCGTCTGCGTGTTTATGATCTTGTTTACTACTGGGATCCATTTCAGAAAAGGCTTGTTATGCTTGCACATTTCTGAGAGCAAGAGAAGAGTAAAAAGAGAGAAGTAAAAGCAGGAATAAAAGATGGAATCAGAGGGAGGGAGGGAGGGAGAGAGAGCGGCGGAGAGAAAAGGAAGCAGTGGGGCAGATCAATAGTTGAGTGTTTTTTCTCCACAGTAATGATGAAATATGGTGTAAGCAGATCTGGTGCATAATCATTGCTGTGCTTCACTGTTTTTTTCTACTTCTGTGTGAGCGTGCTGCTTGTCCTTGTGTATTCTGAGATAGTATGTGTGTGTGTTTATGTGTGTAAAATACCACCCCCCCCCCTCCCCCAAGTGTCTTGACTCCTTATTTACATAACCTCCCTGAGAAGCGGAAAATGTATGAAATCAAGATAAATCCCACTGCAACATCCATAAGAAGTCAAAGGGATTAGGAAAAAGAAAACAAGTTTAAGTTTAGTTCAAGTGGCTCCAATTACTGAACGTACCCATGCGTCCTTAAATGGCTGCTGTGTGGTGAAATACCAAGCTGGTCGTCCGTATCAATGCTCAATCTGATCGGTTCTCTTTCAGTCAAATCCTTATGTTCCTCAGAGGACCTCTGGGTTTATTTTAGTGCTGTTTGAGAAGGCTCCAGTTCATTGCCACACAAACACACACACTCCAACCCGTAGCACTGATTTTGTTGTGCGTGCAATGTTAAGATATTGAGAATGGCGTGTAGCTGTGGAGATGCAAGGCCCTGGTAACAGGAGCATCCTCACCAGCGGTTGTCTACCAGTTGCATCATCTATATGCGCAAACTTGCCGCATTTTTTAGCTGCAGTGTGACGATCCCAGAATTGCGGTATGAGTTTCTGAACCTTTTAAATAAAACACACACATGCACACACACAGACACACAGACCAAAGTGTGGTGCCAAGGGGTAACAAAGATATGAGTGGGCCGCAAATGTTGCACCAGCTCTTTACCTTCACCTGTGGCATTAAATCTAAGTTAGAAGTCTAATTTAGAAACTAAACATATATAGACATAAAGATGGCTGCTGGCAAGAGGTTGAACTCTTTAACCATTTTTAAACATGACCCCTGATTAGATTTTGCATCAACATCTAAAATATGCACACAAAAAAGCATTTTTATTTACCATTAACGTTTCTGTCTTACTGACAATTTAGTTTAGGATTGCATTTAACAATTAGTTTTGTTTTTCTAATCTGTGGGTTTATAGAGTTGTGGAGGACAAATAGATCGAATTCTCTCTCATATAACACAAAGAAAAATAAATATTCACCACATTTTAGAAGCTGTAATCAGTCAATCCTATTTATAGACAAAACATTTAAATCCCTTT